CATGATGTTAAAGCCTGATCTCTTGTCTCAGATACTGGAGCTGACTCTGCTCATGGCTAGCTACATCAACCACTGGAGCCCCAGCCTCCCGTCCGCCTCGCTCCAGCCCCTCGGCCACTGGGACGTAGACGGCAAACACTTCCCCGCGATGAACTACACCACCAAGGGCCCCACACTACTGTGAAGTGTGCAAGAAACAACACCGTTTAACTACAGGGAGGCTTGATGACAGACGTTCCACGTGGAGTGCGTTGGGTTGCATGTCCGGGTTTTACATTTTTACGCAACAGGTACAAGGAGATTATTTTTTCTTTTTTATGAAGATTTAGATTTAGAAATGTCAGGATCAGGTCTTGTTAGACTATTTATTTCTACAACAAAAGAGTGTTTCAACTCTGCTCTATTTAGATTTAAGGCTTGGAAATTGTATTTTTGAAATACAGAAGTGGTCTGAGGACACATTTACGACCTGCAGTGTGATCCTTTTAGTCGCTGGCTGCTGCTCAGATCTTTGCCTTCATTCTAACATTCATGTTTTCCAGTTTTTCTGTCATAACCTGTTGCCTTCTGAGAGCTGGTTTGACTGGAATCCAGTGCTGTGTGTCGCTGTCTTTTTTTACCACGAATGATCACTCGTAATTGACAATGAACCAGCATTTGAATCCCTTCATGGGGCACTGTGCAATTAGAAAGGGAATGGTATGGCATGTGATACTTTCTAGCATCTTAATTTGATATAATCCACATCTAATATGACTCTAATTTAGAGCGGCAATGAACAATTACTTTCATTATAGATTAATCTGATGATTATTTTCTAAATGAAATGATGAATTGCTTGGCCCATAACATGTCAGAAAATAGAACAGTTGACATACATATAACAGTCCAAAACCCCCAAAATATTAAAGTTACTGTGAGGAACTTTTAACTGGTTATGAAACCTTCTCAATTGAATACTGATGCCTCTATATGACCTACATAACTAAACAAACCATCAGTGAGAAAACGTCATTCTATATAGTTATTCTTTATGCTTGTCATCGTTGCCATCGGGTCAGATTCCGTGCAAAATCTGATGAAATCATGCAGGTTCACCAGAAACTCCTCAGCTCAGACTCCAGCTGGGCCTCCAGCTCGCCGCGGACAGACCCAGATTCTACGACCTGCAGCCTGAGGGGGAAACAGGGAGGAGGAGAGCTCATTGCCAGCCTTCGTCTTCCTCCGGCCAAGCGCAGAACTTCGCCTCGCTGATCCGCCGTTCCCCGCTGCGAGCAAACACTGACACCTGGCTGCTGGAGGCCCAGGCTGTATTGCTGGGCCCGCTGGAGGGAAGGGATGCAGGGGAGAACCAGAACCAGAACCAGGGCTGAGCGGGGCAGACTCCCAGACCCTGCTGCAGTAAAATGAGAGGTTTTCTAAAGGGAATCGGCTCCTCTGAAACACTACCACGTTTGTCCACAAGAGTGCCAAAATCAACACAAAATGAAAGTTCCTTGTAGTAACTTTAAGTTTAATATCATCGAAGCTTCTAAAAAGAGAGCAAATATTTGCATTTGAGCAGCTGGAACCACTAAATTGTGCTTAAAAAATGAACTAACTAATCGTTTCAACTCTGCCCTGATACAATTTGGTTTTCCTGATAAAAAGGGTGCAGGACAGTTTTGACCCCCTTTTGTAGTCCTTTTGTTTTTCAAAGATAATTAATATTTAGCTCACCTATCGACCCTAACGCAGGCCAAATAAAAGTGAAGTACGTGATCTGCTATCGATGTGATGTTACTGAGGTACACAATAACACAATGGGGTAGGAAAGGTGTATAACAGTGACAGACTGCTTAAGTTTCACAGATGCATTAAACATACAGTGTTCCTGTGTTCATGTTGCTGATGGTCATCTAACAACATATTACACACACAGTGTATTCATAATCAGGTCATTCAGTGTTTAATAACTACAAAAGGAGAGGACAAATACAATGAAAAAGACTTGAACTGTTTTGGATCAAACCACTGTCTTGCTTGTGTCTATATTAGTTATTTATTTTTACTCCCCAAATTTTCTGTTTTCGCTTAAAAGGGTAAAGTTTTCCACAACTGTCACGTTTATATTGGAAAACTTACAGTTTCCTTTATGTAGCAGAGTAATTTAAGAGCAGAGTATGTTTGGTTATCTGTACTAGAATGTGTTTGAAAGATGGTGTCTTGATGATTGTCTGTGTGATAATAGAATAAACGGTACAATCCTGTGTTCCTGCGTGCTTCTTTATATCTTAATTGAATCTATTTTATACCTTACTGTGGTGTAAAGAAACTAAGGGCATACACAATATACGAAGAGCTTCAACTCTGCTTCCACTTTTGATAATTGAAATCAATATATTTATGCGTTTTTTTTCAAATAATGACATACTGTATATAACTAATTAATGCAAATTTACATATTAAATACATTCTTGTTCAATATAATTATGGTCCACAGTGGAAGTTTGTGATTAAAGTGTGTTCAGAATCAATAATAATACATCATGTGTACTTTTACTTTTATTAATTTAAAGTACTTTTTTCCAATAATACGTCTATACTTAAACTTCATTTAAATGTTGAATGCAGTACTTTTACTTGTAATGGAAGTGGCATTATGGCGTGGTATTACTACTCTTACTTAAGGAACTGAATACTTTTTCCACCACTGGTACCTTAAGTATTTGTTTAGCAGGTATAAATCTCATGAAAACCCAGATGATTTCTGCTGTTTCGTCTCTTAATTAGCTTCTCTGTGATACAAAAAGTGTTTTTATAGTCCTTCAAATCTTGAAAGTCTCAAAATAACGGCTGTGCTTGAACGCATCAATAATTTTCTTGTGCTGGAGCAGCACATTTAATTGGTTTTGCCTGTAAGTGTAATCTATTCAGGAAACACAGGATTCATGCAACACTGACAAAATGCATACGTTACTCTTGGAAAAGAAGAACACTGTTTTTGTTCCTAAAAACCTTCTTCTCTCATCCAACACATCCATAAACTATACACTTAGCCTCTGTGCTGGTTGTCCACATGCTGCCCAGTCGACATGTTTTACTGGAGTCGAGGTTGTTGGGGTGGAAGCTGTTCTGCTTCTTCTTATCCAAAGTGGTAATGGCATTTTCCTGCCAAAATACATGCTGTAAATCCCACGTTTTTATAGCTCGTCTGAAGCTCCTGTTGTTCCAAAGCTGCTCTTTTACAAAATGAAATGCTCGTTATAGGGCTCACCGCTGAACTTCTGCATGCCATCATTGCTCATCAAAAGAGAAAATATAATAACTCCTCTTATTTTTCCGTGTTGCACTAAATGGCTCAGGCCACATGCTTTATAAAAGTTTAAATCAAATTTAATTTAGGGTAAAAGATTCCAGTGTAGTTGGACAGATGGTCATTTTGTTACCCTAACTGTAAATCCTTATTATACTGGCTGACTGTACCATTATGTACGCTATATGAGAGGCATGAAGTAAAAAAACTAAATATATACCTGAGGGTGTGTACAGAGATGTGTGTGCATAGTTTAAAACTTATTCTAAATAATAAAAGCCTGGTGTTTATTCTAATACATGCTTCCTCCATATGGCTGTAATACTATATTCCAGGGCTGCAACTAACAATTGATTTTATTGTCGATTAATCTGCCCATTATTCTCTATGAATTTGTTTTTTAGTATAAATATATAGTGAAGATTTCCTTTACATTACTAGTAATTGCTTGATATTGACCAACAGTCAAAAACCTCAAGATATTCTGTTTAATATCATAATATATACATTACTGGATGGTTATTATTACATACATGTGCATTTACTGGTGTAGTTGGTGGAGGTGGAGCCGATTGTAACAGCTTCATATGTGTCTTTGCTGATGTGCTGCTGTGGTATGAATTATTTTAATGCCGTCAACCTGCCAGAGACTGCAGATAAAAATGAGCCTGTGTGGCTAAATATGGCACAAACATGAAGTGCTCATAACTAATGTCCATTGTTCCTTCTCATGTAAAATGACTGTATTAATAGATTGATAGTGTTAAGATAAACGGGAAATACTAGTACAAGTAGTAGAGTATTTGAGTAAATGCACTTTGTTACTTTCCATCACTGAAGCATCTTCATGAGAGAGGAGCCGGTGTGTTTGTCATGTTTGCTTTAAAATAACAAGACTTATTTGATTATCAATTAACTCTCTGAAGGTTTACTAAATCTAATCGAATGAACTGACTAATAATTTAATTTTAACTGTATTTTGAACAGGAATTCTATACAAACGCTGACAATCGCATTGTGCTTAGTGTCGTATTGAGTCTGCATCATAATTCATGAGTTCTCTCGACTGACCAAACTTCAGCATGTCAAAGCTCTTATTAACCTCTCACATACAATGAGTCTTGTAATGTTTTATCGCAGATGAGGTGACCCTTTAATTATCCCGTTAACTGTTTGTTCCAGTTGTGATACTGTATTCCAGCTACGTATAAACACATGAAAAAAGCTACTGAAACATCACTTTTATATATATATATATATATATATGTTTGTGGTGTCACATGTCAAAGTACAGCATGACCGACTGTGTTTTAGGACGTGATTTAAATAGGAGTGACAGTCCTACTATACACCTCTCTGATCTAACACATCATTTGAATAGTTTCTTTAGAACACGGGACTCACATTACATCATCTAGTGAGATGGGGGACAATGCTTGTATCTGGTTTAGGTAGGGGCCTCATACCGTGCTTCTCACTTATGCAAACCTGACGACCCTGTCAGCCATTTTTAGAGATGTTGTTCAAGAGCAAATACCAGTTACATGAAAAGTCATTATTCAGATGCTTGTCATTGTTTTATATAATCTGCTGTAATGAAAGTCCATTGTCTATCAATATTTGATGGATATCAAACACTTAATTACAGCGGGTCAGGGTTCATCCAGTGTGTATTTACAATATTCAGACACTTCGCGGCTGTGAGGCGATGGGAGGGTCGATCTGAAACAGCAGTTGTGTGTGTGTGTGCGTGTGTGTGTGTGTGCTTGTAATTGATTCCACATTAGCCTAGCCCGAGAGCACCCGGGAGAGACATCACGGCTGCGCTTTCTCCTACGTGGGCTGCAGCCACAGCAGAGACACTTCACTGGAGCCTGAAGACGAGACAACACAGCCGCCTCTCTACCGAGCAGCAGCAGCAGCAGCACGGGTAGGTCGCGTGTTAATGCACGCGGTTAACCAGAGACATGTGTGAGCTCACGCTAGGCTACAACGAACAGAGCATTACTTGTAACGGGGGTTTCTTACATGCCTTTGTTTTGATAGGAAACATTTTTTTAAAGATGACAACCAAAAAGCCGCAGAGCATGCTCCGGGAAGCGTCTCATCAGATTATCGCCGGCGGATCCGCTGGTAAGTTAAAACAACTGTTTCACTTCTACTATTTCTAACGACCGAGTCGCATTACGCAACAGTTTAGGGAGTGTGCACGATGCTACATGTATGTAGCAACGGTTACCGATTTAACGTCCGCCTCGTTCACCTTCCCACGAGAGCGGTTACCGGTAACGTGTAGGCCTACAGAAAGGTGTCTGGCTTTAAAGGTACATGCGTAAATAATCAACAACCGAGTAGATTATCTTTGGGTCGTTAGGTGATCAAAGATAATACATATGTCACCAAGATAGTTGACGCGCTGGATAACTGAAGAGGCACCAGGAAATCAGTTTGCGCATGCGTGTAGCCATCCAGTGAGTGAGGGGTTTGTTTTGTTTACCTTCTTAAGTACGCTTTATCAGTGATGGAATGTAACTAGGTAGGCTACATGTACTCGAGTACTGCACTGCAGTCTACATTTGGGAAACGTGTACTTTACTTGAGTATTTCCAGGCAAATATTTGACTTTTTTTGACTTCTCTACATTTGTCTGACAGTTTTTGTTACATTTCAGATTACAGTTGTTCCCTCCCCTTCCTGTCCAGTGAAACCACGTCTCTCCAGATTTGGACATTTGAACATTTGTGATTAACTGAAGGAGGAAGTGATCCTTTTTGGGTTGAGAAAATTCCCCTACTTCTTGAACTTAATAAACTACTTAAAAAGCCTCTCGGATCAGCTGGAAAATACATCACCACAAAGCTGGTTGTTTTTCTGAGCTGATGAAAAGTGGACTTTTTAGAGATACGTGGTTCTCACAGGACAGCGACGCTGCAAACTTATGATGATCTTATAGAATATGATGCATCGCTGAAGATTAAACTACCCAACAGTGTGTAAAGGAGTTCAAATGAGCTCAACTGTGATCATCTACAGCAGTAAAATACAACATACACAATAAGGCAGCAGTAATCCAAAAACATCATATATTATAGTAAAACACTGACGGGGAACATTTTACTGAACAATTGGTACTTTAAGTACATTTAGCTGAAAATAGTTACATACTTTTTTTTGTTACTCACTTAGTAGTTTTTTTAATGCAGGACTTTTACTTGTAGTGTTGTATTTTATGATGTGGTTGTTATTGTTACTTTTATCCAAATAAAGGATCTCAATACTTCCACCACTGGTTTGTATGCAAGGAAATTATGTTAATAACAAATTTCAAATGTCAAACTTTGAAGCAGGACTTTAATTGGGTAGAAAAACCATTTCATTATGTGGCATTGACTGTTACCGAGAGCTCGTAAGGGGTTTTCACACAGGCAGCTGTTAGCATGAGGCTAAGAAAGCTTTCACATTGGCACCGTTTTGGCAAATGCCAAAGTGGGCTAACCCCAATTGTAGCCTATGGGCTGGCGGGGTTATCTCCCGAAAGCTTACTAAAAGGGCTAAAAGTTGCCGGTGTGAAACTGGGCTAAAGTGAACAGTTTGAAATTCTAGAATGTAAACAGTAGTCATGTGTTACATCTGAAATTTAGCCCAAGGCTATAGAAGTAACATTTCCATTTGAACGCTAGAAGAGTTGTAGAAAATGAAAATAAGCCATTCAAATGGTACTTAAGTACAAATACTTCTGTACATGCCCTCCGTTACTTTCCACCACTGCTACATTTACTACAACTACTACAGTATCTACTTTACCCCGCTGGGGAGAAACCAAACGTGGGTTTATTCGGCATTCACAAAAAGATTATTGTGAAATTAGAAACGTTAGACGTGTGTAATTTATAGTAGAACGAAATGATTCTCTCGGAGGAAGGTGAATGGCCACTAGTGGTCGAGGAAATATAAGTGAGACTATTGTTGCACTTCATATTCCATATGATTTGTGTGCGATACCAGACAGGATATATGACACGTGAAGTATTTTCCATGATGAAGTTACATATGTAATGTGTCAATCCACCTTATGCATAATTTGAGTGGCCTTTTCGTAGGCTTCATAAGAGTATGGACAGTTCCAGACAGAACAGACCTGGTGTTTAACCAAGGTCCTGGTTCCAGGTCCAGATTCATAGAGGCATATTAAACTTGGTGATTTGCGCCTCTTCCTCGTCTCTAACCAGGAAGTGAGCCGAAGTCATCCCTCTCGCTTATTTTTGCCTTACTTAACCCTCACAAAAAAAAACCACTCATCTGTTTCTCTTCACATTCCAGACGAGGCGCAGTTCATCCCGACCGAGGCTATTGGCTGTAGCGAGATTGCGTAACACGGAGGACACGTTGTCAACTCGTGTTTTATTGAAGCAAAGGGTGCAAAGTAAAAGCGGCGAGACAGCTGGCGGAGAGGGAAGAATATGCTGACAATTTAGCCCCTAATAAGAGATGCTGAGGAGAAGGAAACGCACCAAAAATATCCAAGAAGCCTGGCAGAGAAGCCTGGCATCTAAAGGAAGTCGGTGTATTCCGGCTTCAGAGATGAGAAAAGAGGAAATAACACATTTCTGGAAATGTATTTTGGTTGCAGTGCCAGAGAGGCTATATCCTCCATATAACCAGTATTCCTACCATAACCTACATAACACCCACATGATCACACCAACTGAACAGTGATGATGCCACAAACATGAGATCATTGAGTCAAAAATAATGCTTGTTGAACAATATGCACCAAACCATTATTGTGAATCACTAAATATGTGGAAAGAGTTGTAACATACCGTTAAATTGGCTGTGAAGTGAATGAGTCGTGGACTGATTTGTGATTTGGGAAGAATTGCACATTATATCTCATTGTTGCAGTATTCTGTCGGCTCTGGTAAGATTTATCAGTTGCAGTGTTTCAGAAAATGTCAACAGTAGGAAAAAGTTGATTGCATGAAAAGAAAAGGATTTCTCTTTTGTGAAACCAGAGTCAAGGTTGTTAGTTAATCATTGCTGATTCACTCTGGCTGTTGACTGTTGCTTTTATCTCGCCTATTTGTGAACAAGTGACGATACAGATGCATCTGACAAGCCTGTGAGGGGATAATCAGTGTAGACGGTCTGTCGGTTTCAGTTTTTTCTCCAACTGAACAGCTGAAAACAATAAGGATCACAAAACTCCTTCCTCATGTTTGTGTTCCCGGTGTTGTTGCTGTGCTCACTCACTAAGTTTATTAACACAGTTTTTAAAGAAAACCTTTCTGTGCACAATGTCCAAGGTCTTCAGCAAAGTCTTTCTGGCTTCAGGATATATCGTTTTCATGTTCAGAAATCACAGTAATACATTATAAATCTTACATTAGAGATGACAGAATTATACATTTTTCCAAATGCGTGCACCCCTTGAAACATAGGTGTACTATTAGTGACGTAGTTTAATTTCACATATTTAGATTTCTCTATATAAACAGTGAAATGGACATTTTTATATCATCATTGCACAAAGTGACAATACTGACTCAAGGGTGACTCAAGAAATGCTTCTGACGTTTCTTCCACTATAGATACGAGGTACTTGTCCATAGTCCGTATATTGCCTACACTAGATGGCGGTCAGCACGCCCCCAGTTTGGAGAAACAGAGTACCGGAACGGGAGCAAAGCAAAGTACTGCTGTGGACCGAAACAACAGCGAAACATATTTTAGCCACCTAAAAGTATCACTTTAAGTGTACACTTCATTTAGAATATTCTCTCCACTGTCCCTTGCCGTCAGGAAGCCATTACTATCTATGCTTTTTTCAAAAGCCAAAATACTCCTTTGAGAAATACACGGGAGTTGCTGGTCTACCGCCGCCTCGTTCGGTAGGTTCGTTTGTGTTTATTGGGTGACTTTGGTGTTTTTAAAGGGTTAGTTCGAATCCAACAAAGTCACACAGTAGCACAAACAAACCTATCGATCGAGGCAGCGGCAGACCAGCAACTCTTGTGTTTGTGAGGTGAAATGTTTATGTCAAAGGAGTCTGGTGGGTTGAAGAGGCCATAGAAAGAGCTACCTGACTGCAAGGTACAGCGGTGGAAATAACTTAACTTAACTTCAATGCTGGTGGACGTGCCGACCGCCCTCTACTTTAGGTAATCCACTGACTATGGATACGTAGCCTACCTCGTAGAACGCCTTTGAAAAAACTCCAAACTGTAAGTGTCATAATCTACTTCTAATCCATGTTACAGTCAGTGGAGATGTGCGTGACACTCTGTGTTAAGTTGCCGCGGAGTCTCTCATGCAGTTAAAGTTAATGGTGTAATATTTTTACTGCTCCAAAAACTCACACAATTTCAAATGCTTCTCTAAACAGCTTTTGCAGTATATTCCAGGTTTTTTTTTTACAGCGGAATGATTTTGGTTCCAAAAGTCCAATATTTACCTCATTTACTCCAATACTTTGCTCTCATACAATGGTTTATTCAAGAAGGAACTAACTAACAGTAGTACGCGTAGTGTTCCGGCTTTTCTTGACTCCCGGGAGCTCTGCACAGAAGGCTGCATTGTCATCATTAGTATATAGTAAGGATCAGCTAACGAATGCTGGATCTACAGTATGTTGTATGAACTTCAGTGAACACTTCTTTTCAGGCTAATTAAGATGTACTCAGGGCGCAACTTGTCTCAGCCGATGTTTTTTATGAGAAAGGAGTTGTCATACGTACTGTGGCATTGTTGCTTGTCCCTCCCTGTTTACACCTCACAAGCCCCCTGGGAGGCTGAGGGACTCTCGTCTGTCCTCACCAAGAGTGATGGGACCTCAGTGTTTATCCACGGCTTCACGCTGCCTCCCTACAGAGATTATTCTTTTTTTCATCCTGATTCACCGTTTACGAGGATGGAGACGGACTGTTGTTCATTTACGTGCGAGCAGGTCTTCAAGCCTATAAATTAAATGTGAATTAAGGGGAAAAAGCTGCATTTTGGCCACAGTTTGGTGTTCTGAAGCGCTAGCTGGCACCAGTGATTTTTCTTTACCCATTTTGAATGCCTGGTGGAATACAGTATGCAGATTTTATGATATTATACGCATTTTTGGACATGTTTGGACACTCGCTAAC